GATCTGGACATCACTGAGGTTGTGGGTAATAGAAACAAGACAGAGTTCAACACCATACTTTGGGGACTGATCCAGGACATCCGGCATTACTAATCCAGAACCTCTTTTTATGCTATTAATCACAGGATTCCTCAGAGCCACAAAAAGTGATATCACTCTAATGTAAATGGTACAAACCCCTCTGATGTCTAAAACTTTCAAATGTAGGTAAATTGCAGGTAAATTCTGGTAGACTCCACTGTGTTAGGTGGACTGGATTGTGCACACTGAATTGTCCCATCACCTTACTGTCTCCATAATCTGGTTCTTACTCCTTCAGGAGACTGAAAGTTCATGTCACACTGTCATGCACATATAAAAAGATGGTCTCCAGAAGCAACTACAAGGCAATCTACAGAGGTTCAATAAAATAATTTCCACATTTTAATAATCTAAGGAGCCAAAATAAGAACCCAAAAGAAGCTTGGGAAGATGCAGCCAGCATGTTACGGTGGTTGCCACTGAGCTTTTGGGAGCTGTTTTCCTGCTAGGACAGCCCATATTTAAATTGCACATCTTAAAGACAGGGGAAAAATGGAAGACAGTTATTCTTGTTCTTATTATGAGGTTAAACATATCAAATGCTGAAGAAATCTTGTGGACTGACAGGGAGAGACTTCCCTAACCCTATAAGCAGGACAAGCAGGTGGTTAGATAAAGACAGAAGCTAAAATGTTGCAGTGATTGGCCTCAGTACATGTATCACACAATAATGTCAAACGAATTCAGATCAAGGCAGTCCTTTCTCAGACTCACTCCTCTTCTTCCAGCTTCTTGCACCTGCACTGACTTTTATTGTTCAGCTTTTCTTTTTGATCCTTTCACCGTATGTGTGGGATACAGGCATGTGTCTCCTGGCTCTCTGAGCTGGCAGAGCATCTCACTTGCATCTCAGCAATCAAAGGAGATTTAGAAGCTGTCAGGTGGGCTCACTCCTTTGAAACCCTCCCAATGACAGTGCCACAAATTGGTAGCTTTCAGGAAGACAACTGCTGCCAGTGTAAGCTCTGATAATAGAAATGGCAGCTGAAATTTAAACTTAGACGTTTCTACTACTCAGAGGAAAATGTGCAGTCACAGAAGGGTTTCTCATCATCTGAAATTTCAAACTGCTGTGTGTAACACTGTGGAGCCCATTTCTCATAGCCACAAGGGCTTTCTTTAGAGTAGTTTTATACCTTTCTGGGCAGAGTCCGGTATTGTACGGGAACTGAAAGCTGAGCTGATCACCACCCTAAAATCTCCCATTGGGATCAACAGCTTTGTGGTTCTGTCTGAGACCAGCCTCCCTTTAGACTGTCTGTCATGATGGATGAGTCCAAACTGGTAGGGAGCACATGATGAACAGCATATGGTCCAGGATATTCAATTCACAGAGAAAATGTAAAAGACATGTAAGGATTGTGTAGGTTTACCTAGCCATGTATGTAAAGGACATACATACATATACTCCTTTTTTTTATGCAGCTCTTTTCACTTCCTCTTCCATGCTATTGCACCAAAATCTACATGCAAGAGAAGGAAGACACGTTCTGGCAACATTGCCAAAGGGCTGCTATATTCCAGGTCAGTCAGCAACTCTAAGGGGAAGCAGGGTATATTGTCTCCTCCGGAGAAGTAAATATACATACACATTCTCTTTGTACATACTAAAATATTTAAATATGTAAAAAAACGGATTATAATTAGGGAAAAATTAGAATAGATTTGAATGTTTAGCATACCCTTGGTAGTTCTTGTTTTGTTTCTGTATGATGCCCTCCACACAAAAAGATACTTCACCGTAATTGTGCCCTTTCAGTGCAATCGTGTAAATTTTGCTCTCGTTCACGTTGTTACTCCTTAGCAAGCTCTGCCGTAGTTATCATGGCCATCCCGGAGGGAAATGACCCTCATGGAGCTGGGGCTTGAAGGATTAAAGCTTCTGGGAGTGAGTTGGGAAGTTTATTCCCCAGAGTCCCAGAGGGCTGCCCTTGACACAGAAGCTAGCACACTGTAACGCCCACAGCCATATATCCAGGGAACTGGGATTCCATACTGACCTCCAGGTGCAATAATTTTTTTTGCAGTAACTTACATGTTGATCAAGAGAGTGTTTTTTGCGTGTCTGGAGATCATACGTCCCTGGAATGGGCACCATTAAAAATGACAGATCTTTGAATTGTTTGGAATCTGTCTTCTCATGGTTCTGCTCCTTAAGGAGACATTTACAGCTATGTAAATTTATTAGGGTTTTGCAGGAAAGCAAATGCAAAGCTCATCACACAATTATCATTTCTGCTGTTGAGCTTCTTCCTGTTTTTGTTTATTACGTCAGTGTATTTCAAGTCTTTGAGTTGGAAGCCCCTCGCATGCACACATTTTCCTCTCTAGAAATCTAACAAAATTGTTTGCTGGATATATGAACTCGCTTCTTGTTTGGACCATTTCAGCAGTAGATCCCTCAGGCCTGAAGACAAAGGTTGAAAACCATTGATCAGGGCTATGCACAGGGGAACAGGAGTGACCTGCAGCAGCTGCTTGTCAAACCCTGGAAAACACTAGTGACATAGTTAATTAATACATTTCTCAACTCCCTGACTTCTGTTTTAGGCACACACTATCAGTGAACTGTATTATATCACTGCAATCCAAACATCTTGTGGTAATGTGACAATGTTACTCTAATGTTCATTGAAAACTTTATTAAAAGATACAGTGTCAAAAGAGTATTTTGGTTTGCTTCTCCTACTGGGTTTTATTGCCTCCTAGTTTGTTTCTCTCTAAATCCTCAATGTTTATATTACATATGATAATCTTTCAATATTATTGAAACAATTGGAAATTTTCTTAGTATTTTCAAATCAACTTTTATTCGTAATGTTCTGTTTCACTAAAATGCTGATTTTTCTACATCAGTGCTTTCCCTCATGACTCTAATAGATCTCACTAAAGGTCTAATTCCATATTTACTTGCTGTACAGCATAAAATCATAGAATCATAGAATAGTTAGGGTTGGAAAGGACCTTAAGATCATCTAGTTCCAACCCCCCTGCCATGAGCAGGGACACCACACACTAAACTATGTCGCCCAAGGCTCTGACCAGCCTGGCCTTGAACACCTCCAGGGTTGAAGCATTCACAACTTCCTTGGGCAACCCATTCCAGTGCCTCACCACCCTCACTGTGAAGAACTTCTTCCTTATATCTAACCTTATATCTATAATAAAATGGTTCTGTGTACTGGCACCTACATGGACGCATTGTGCAGCTAAATACAAATCCACATTTCTATACTTTTAAGCTACAGTAAGATGTAAAAATCCCAAACCCTCCATGCTCTGTGCTACAGTTTAGCTTGGAACTGTGAACATTGCTATTTATCTCGAGGAAGGTCGAACACAGTGATACAACATGTGTGCATACGCAGATACTTTCAGTCCTGATGGACAATTACATTCAAAGTTTCAACAAACTTTTGCTTTGCACTGTGAATGAAAAATCTGAGAGTTTTAAACATTGTGACTCTCTGTCAGATGTAGCAGAAAGGTGTGAATATCTTTAAAGGCCACAAGAAAACCCAACCCCAAACCCAAAAAACAACAAACTAACCCAAAACTCCAGAACGAAACACATTTATACACCATTAAACACATTTGTACTAGTCAGTATTTGCAGATCAGCTGATACTAAGAAACCCATCTACTATATTCATATTTCACTTTTAAAGTGTATTCTGCTTGTAGGTTTAACTAATACAATGCTGGGAACAGAAAAGGACTTCAAAGAAAGAAGTAGCTATTATCCGTGCCACCCACACTGGTCCACAGGTCATTTCAATAAAAGCATTCCTTAAAAAAGATACACAAAAGTCCCTAAAAGTGTTTATCAAAAATGTCAGACTTCTCTTTTTGTTACCTAGACTTCTATTTGGAAGTGGGGCTTTATGATAAGTTTTTCCAAACCCTTTCCATTCAGCCCCCGAGAGGGATGATCAATGTATAACATTTGACAGTGAGAAAATGTACTAACATTGAAAAGATTTCTGCCATGGAGCAGCAGAAATTAATTTTTAGCAGCTGATTTGTGTCCACCTCCTGACACAGAGTCCTTCCTTGGGGCTCTTATAGTACAGCCCTTCTCTACAAGCAGTTTTGCTTCAGAACTTTCTTCCCCTCAACCAGGAGATCAGGGATCCCTCCTGACAGCTGGATCTGAAATAGGACCTTTGATCCAGCACATGCTGACACTGCAGGTCTCAGCCAGCATCAGAGGATGCTGGATCAAGGCTGGAGGGTCTGGAAAATATTAACTAGATATGGTGTGTGGAGCCAAGAGATAAATCTGGTAGAAAGGGGAGAGGGAGAGAAGGAGAGAAAGAAAAGTGTTCCCATGAAGATTTTTCTTCCTAGTTTTACACCAGCACTTTAAACCATACAGAATTTTTCAGCCTTTACTATTGGGTGCTCTAGGGAAAACAAAAATCTGCTACATCACACCAATGAATAGGCAAATAACTATTTTTCCTGTGTGAATATATATGAAGCCATATCACCTCCAGACTGTATTTTTAAGAGAACTACCTTGCCCTTGAGTCCTGCTGCACAAATCAAGCCAAGCCATTGCCCATTTTGCACAGTGAGAAAATTCCATGTTGTAGTCAGAGGACCTAAAATGTTCTGTAACATTCCCATGATTTAGCTGAAACAAAAAAAGCAGTCTCCTGTGTGAGAAAGGGTTTAATTGCTCTGGTTAGAAGAATTAATCTAAACAAGCACAAAGCATACAAAGAAAGGGATTGCCTCTTGCTGGAGACTAAATTTTGCTCTTGGATATGCATCTGTAACTTCTTCTGAAGTTAACAACATATCAAAGGCAGGATTAGGCCATAGGACATTTGCATCACAAGCCATGGATCCAGTTCAAGGGTGGGAACAAGGGCAATCTTAAACTGCAACTAGGAAACATTTTAGTTGCCTACCTGCTCCATTTCCGTAAAGGTGCTCTGCTCCTCATCTTCCTCCTCGATATCTGACTCTCCCAGAGCAATAGGAACACAAATGGACAGGTCAGGATTGGTCATAAAATCATCATTGTCTGTAATTCCTAGATGTTTCTCCCCATTTTTATTCATTCCATCCTCAGCATGGTTCTCTTTGTGATTCTCCATGTCTTTCCCAAGCTCAGCAGTTGTGTGACTGTTGACACAATTGTTAAGGGCCCCTGTATTCTGGGCAGCAAGCATCATCATGGCCTTCTTTTCAGCTGTTGTCTTGGGGTGCCGGAGAACACTGCAGCAAAAATCCCACGTCGCGTGTTTCACATACTGAAGACCCCTATTGATCCGAGCAAAAGCAAGCTGCAGGTTGTTCATCTCCCCATCCTCATCTGGTGCCGAGAGGTTATCAGCACTGAAAGAGCTTAGCAGCAAGGCAAGAAACAGGTTGAGCACCTGAAACAAATAAAGTTAAAAGGAAATCAATGACCCTTAAATGTGAAGGCTTAATGTTTGTTCTTGGAAGCAGGACGGTCTGAGCCTCATCTCATCTGTGTCACTGTAATAGCACCAACATTTGTGGAACAACCTCTAATTATAGGT